GTCTTTACTTGTCATAAATATTTACAGAAAAGCTAATGAAATAATTTAACAAGTATAAATCAAACAGCGTATTTAGTAAAGTTTAGTAAATAAAATAACAAACATCTTGTTTGAAGAGTATTTTTTTCTTATCCCAGTGCCTGTTCTTTCCAGTTCTTGGTGATCATCATAGTAATCAGCATTTTAGTGACTGTTGAATGGAACAATTTCAATAATTTTTGGTTGTATTCAACGACGTTTTTAGACTTCGGATCTACAAAATTCGTCTTTTTATTAGTGTTTTTATTTTGTTGTAAATATTTCCCTACATTAGTTTTAAGAAATGTTTGTATTTTAAGAACGATTTCCGAAGTGGACATTGAGAAGTTAATAAATTTACTTTAACCTGTAATTGTGGCTTATTCCCATTTAAATAATAAAACCTTACAAACATGTGGACAAAAATCCACATACATCCTGCCATAAAACTGCACAAAGACATGATGTAGGTCATTCTTCAGACTTATGTGTTTCACACAAGAATTAATTTAAACCCTACAAAATCTGGTTGTTGCAAGGATTAAATGAAGTTGACTACGACTGAAGACTACATTTTAGTGGTGTAATATTAATGACAAAAACTTCGCTAAAATTGTTTTTCCGACGCAATATTTACACTCTGTGGGAATCTAAATCGGGCAAATTTATAGTATTGAAGTGAGGTAAATCCACAGTGGATATGTGAAAACAATAAGAACTCAAAGATCACCAGAACTGAACGTATGATCGGAAATATTAGGTACTCAGTTAAATGGGTAATTTTTTATAAAAGGAAATTTACATAAATCCGTAAACTGTTTAAGACAGAAAAGATTTATTTTCATGTTCAGAACGACCGTGAACAGCTGTTCTGATGAGCTCTATTATGGCGAAATAAGTATAAGTAGATACACAGACGCATTGTACATGGAATCAAATCTTGACTGTCTTTTTTATTTCATAAAATTTAAATAATTATGAACTGCTATTTAGTAATGATGGGAGTCGCCAATCATCTGATACTGCTAATTAAAAGCCTGTACAATAACAATTATGCCAGGTATTATGCCTGTTTCGCATATTTTGTTAAATATATCTTCCATTACTTCGATGTGTTCGTCTTGTAATATCTTTATTATTTCAATTGGGATATTATTTTCCCCAACAGCTTTTTCGTTCTTTATCTGATTTGCCGCTTTGATAATTTCTTACTTTGTGAAATAAGGTCCAGTCGATGAGTCCTGCATGTAAATGTTCATCCTCTCTCGGTCTTGAAACATCTCTTCCACGTATTCTCTCCATCTACCTATTTGATGTTCTATGTTCAGTAGCGGGTTCTCATGTTTATCTTCGATGAAAGACGTAGGAGTTTGTTTAAATATTCCAGCGGCTTCTTTTACTTTTTTATGTAGATTGAAAGTATCATGTCTTTGTTCCAACTCTTCAATTTCTTGGCATCTTTCACTTAGCCAGGTTTTTTGGCTTGTTGGATCTTTATTCTGATATTCTTGTGTATTTGCTTGTATGTTGTTTCATTTTTCTCATTTAAGAGGTACCCGGGACTGAGAACCGTTGTTTTAGGTTCCATGAGCATTATGTAATTTGGCTGGGGAAATATTCTTCTTCTTCTTCTACGGCACTACAGCCCAAAATGAGCCTTGGCCTCCTTTATTTTTTGCCTCCACCCTTGTCTGTCTGTGGCTGCTCTTCTCCATACACGGACTCCTAAAAGTGCTTGTGCGTCGCTGCTTACTGTGTCTTCCCAGCGCTTTCTTGGCTTTCCAACTGGTATCTTTCCTTGCATTCTGGCGTTCAGTGCTCGTTTTGGTAGCCTATCCTCTCCCATTCGTATCACATGTCCGGCCCATTGCAATCTTTGTATTCTAATGAAGTCTGACAGGGGTGTTTCCTTATACAGTTGATAGAGCTCGTTGTTATATCGAATTCTGAAGATTCCGTTTTCCCTCACAGGTCCTAGTATTCTCCTCAGTACTTTTCTTTCGAATGTGTCGAGTTTGTTTTATGTCGGGGAAATATTAGTGTAGTGGTTTCCCGTTGCCTTCTACACTGCTGTACATGTGCCGCTTCTGTGAATGTCACCACGCTACATGCTGTTTAATTCACAGCCATTTCAGTCTGCCTGTGGTTAGTGTTGGATCAGCCAGCTGCCACTTTCCAGTGCTAGTTTTATACAAACCTAACCATTGGACTGCCACCTCCCTTCTCCAAACCGTTGTGAAGACCTTCTCCTCCGCCCTGGATACCGTTGTGGACTTAATCCGTGACCCTGGACAAGGAACCCTTAGCAAGTACTAGTTTCCCGGGTCAGGAAACACCTGTAATCTGCGGAAGGCATGGATTGATTCACTTCCTCTAGTAGAGGAAGTGAATCACAACCTCAACATGCCTCACAATTTGAGGTACTTCCGTTAACCTATCACGCAACCACAAACACAACACAACAATTACCATCCTCCAGGTGATAGCCTGGACCATTTCAGATCTGACATTAAAAATACTTACACTTCAACTGACATTCAAAATACTGACAAGACATACAATACACAAATTTCTAACGACACACAACAAAGATACTACACACATTAACGTACACATCAAAACTTATCATTCATAGTCACTCTTTACATAGAGAATTATGTTACTTTACATAGACACCTTAAACTCAAAGAGCTCTTTAAAATATGACATCAAACAAATGACACAATACACAAACAACTTTATGTCACAAAAACCTCAAAAGATCTCAACTTAGAACTCATACAAATACAGTAGTCGAGTTATTAATAGTCGAGTATTAATCCCCTTTTAGAGCAGATTAATAACCCGTCGGTATGAACGCCCGATTCAAATAACTGAGGAACTCAGGGAAGCAGCGGCGAGTATACATAACTAATAGAATTACTAGAACGAAGAGTCCCTTATATCACTCGATGCAACACACTTACACGATACAAAATACACGATAAATCACATCTCTAACCAAATTCTGTAGTCAAACCCTACTAATCCTAATCGTTCCGGATATAAAAACAATTTCTTTGCAGTCTACATGAACAAGTTGAATAAGATAGCCTACCTTTACATAACGAACCCCATTAATGCCAAACCTCTGCAGAAAAAACTCAAAGTTTTACCCGTGCCAAATACCTAACCATCACAAACAGATCCAGAAAAAATCACATAAACAAATCTAAATGCACGCATTCCTTAATAATTTCGCAATCAACGCAGATTCAACTGATTATTTATTTAAAACTCAAAATCTACACATCTATCAAAATTCAAGTCACTTACGGTCAACTCTCCTTACAAATCCGCCACACTTATAACCAAATCCAAAATCAACACATCACTCCTTATACCGATGTAGAGCAATTCCGAGAGGTCTTAGCGGATAAATTCGAATCTGATCCTTCACATAATCAAGATCATATTTTCGAGATTAATAAAAACATAAATAAAAACCTTCTTGCAGCCGGGCTACAAGTCGCAAAGAAAACAAGGACTAAAGAGGACAAAATAAGCAATGAAACTAAACAAGTAATGACGGAAAGAAGACAAATACACGCGCAAAACAAACTCTATACTGAAGAATACAGAGAACTAAACAAAACAATTAAAAAAGAACTAAAACGTGACATACAAAAATAGAACAAGAACTTAATAGACCAAGTCATTGGAAACAACAGAGGCTTAAAATGTCTAAGACCCGCAATGGAAGTTCAAAAAATCATCAAAATTAAAGACGCCAACATTAAGGAAGAGAAGGACAAATATAAAATAACAAATACTGTCGAAGATTTCTACACATCCTTGTACAGCTCGCAAAGCCAGCCTAATGAAACACCAAAAAAAATATTAAAAAAGAAACAGGCTTTAAAGCCTACATACTAGAAAGAAGAAGAAGATAGCCACAGAACACAAAATTTGACACTTCGTTCAGATGTTTAACAGAAAATGGAACTGGTAACAGCATAACCACAGAATAAAAAACTCTCCATGGAAAATTAAGTACGCGCATCTCCTTCGCGCAGACTTTCCGCCATGTTTTAGAGGGAACCAGAGTTGTTTATGTGGTGTGCATAGAAAAATTAATCCGGTTTAATTGACTTACGGCAATCATAGACATACTATACAATTATATTAATTTTTTATTATTTTGTGGCATAACGGTAAATGAGGATAGAATCATTGAAAATGCACAGGATAATAAACTGTATAATAGTCCATAAGAACCCTTACTGAAACAGAAACATGAAACGGAGTATAAACAATTTACTTTCTGCCAGCCAAAATTGCAAATGGTGGCAAAGGCTTTTAAAAATTGACGTACAATTTCTATTAGTTTTATTTCTTTGTTGGACACAGTATTAAAATCTCAACAACAATATTTCGTGATTATAACCCCAATTTCAACTATTGTTATTATATCTTAAAAATTATTTAGGATTTCTTGTGTTAATATTTGTACCGAAACAAAAATAAAAAAAATCCTGTTTGCTATGACTAATTTTCTAACTATTTATATATAATAATTGTATTAGTTTACAATGGTTTTTTTATTATAATAGATTTATTTAAATTTATTTTCCTTTATCTTCAAATATAATAATTTTATATCACACCGTATACATAAACCTTTTAGCATAAAAATATCTATAAAATTCCAACTCCTGCAAAGCCGCAATAAAATTCCCTATGGCTCGTGTCAAAGCAACAGCAACTGCTCTCATGCGGCAGGAGCGCTAGCGCTCCTGCAACCGGGAGACTTTCAGACTTTCAGCGTTATCCCTACCCTACTACCTGAAATCTTGGCACGCGTCAATGTGAGTAAATATAGAATAGCTACTTGGTTCACTTAGAGTCAGTAAGTCCTTAACCACTAACGAAAACACTCAAAAACCTTAAGTCACTTTTAGAGTGCGCGTGTCAGATGACAATTCAAAATTGTCAAAATTTTTGAGGACTACCTGTTGAGGGAACAAGGTGTATTATCAAAAGTATTGTTAAGTTTAGTGTTGAACATTGTCTGTAACTGCTTTAAATATATAGTGAAAAACTACAACTATGCCGCGAGCGTTTCTGATGACTCACCGCAGGTACAATTTTGAGGAAGAACACCATAAAGGTAAGATTGAAATGCGCAGTAGTTAAGTATGCGCTATTTGTGTTTATTTTTCATTTTTATTAATTCATTTAACTTGTATTGTTGTTGTTTTATTCGTAAATATGTTTTACATTGTTTCTTATATTAATTTTCTTTGCATAAAAACTGTTATGAAATATCTAAACTATTTTTAGCTAAATTGCCAATTTTGACAGAAAGTATAATATCTGACAGAAAGTAAAATATGATATCTGACGTGCAACGATTTGAACATTGAATTTGAGCTACTGTTTAAATAATGTATATCAAATTAAAGTGCAACATATTTATATTAAAATTTAATAAATATATTAAAAGTTTTATGATATATTCCAGATTTGTAGATCTTGTTTTCATTAATAAACAAATCATATTAAGGCGTTCCACGCTCAAATCTTTACAAATCATCTTAGTTACTCTCTTTAGTTTTTTCTACATAATTATAAAATCGTCTGTAAAAGTTTCTTGGTCAGTCGAATCTTTTTTTATTATCCATCTCTATTTTTATTAATATCGGTACCCTTTCTCATTCATCTATTCTAAATATCTTCGTCATGATAATTGTGATATATTAGCTACTTAATTTATTATAGGCTTTTGGTGTTCGTTTAATATACTTAGATCTGCTATCATTCATCATCATCAATCAGCCAATCGCGTCCACTGCTGGACATAGGCCTCCCTCAGTTCTTTCCAGTGTTCTCTACACTGGGCCGCTTGTAGCCAGTTTCCCGCTACACGTTTTATATCATCGGTCCATCTAGTCGGTGGTCGTCCTCGGCTTCTTTTATAGTTTCTGGGCCTCCATTCCACAATACGTCTTGTCCACCGTCCATCTTGTGTTCTAGCTAAGTGCCCTGCCCAGTTCCACTTTAGCGTCGTGGTTCTTTCGATGACGTCTTGAACTTGGTTTGTTATGTGGTCTCGAAGGCTCACGTTCAGCATTGCACGTTTCATGGCTCGTTGTGTAACTCTGAGTTTATTCGCAGATTTTTGTGTGAGTGTTAAAGTTTCTGCTCCATAAGTTTGTACAGGCAAAACACATTGGTTATAAACCTTTCGCTTGAGACACATGGGAATTTAACTTTTTAGAATATGGCTTAATTTGCCAAATGCTGCCCATGTTAGGCCTATTCGCCTCTGCATTTCATGTGTTTGATTGTCTCTGCTTATTTTGATTTCGTGTCCCAGATATTTGTAACTGTCTGTTGATTGTATGGTATATTTGTTAATAGTTATATTTCCACTCATTACGAGATTTACTATAAGTTTATTTTTCTCAAAATTTATCTTTAATCCTGCTCTTTCAGACAGACTTTTAAGCGAATGTTAGTTATCTGCGATTAATACAACATCATCTGCAAACCTTAGGTGATTTAATCTTTCTCCATCTATATTGATGCCCATATCTTGCCGTTGAGTGCCCTTAAATATTGATTCTAGAGCTGCCGTGAACAATTTTGGTGAAATATTGTCTTCCTGTCTAACTCTTCGCCCTAAACTGAATTTTTTGTGTCTTATACTTGATGTAGCGTTCTCGTATGTGTTTTTAATTAGTGTCGTGTACCTGTAATCTATTCGGCTTTGATTTAGGGCTTCCCGTATTGTTTCAAACTCTACAGAATCAAAAGCCTTCTCGTAATCGACAAATGCAAGAACCAGTGGTATGTATACTTAATGCACTTTTCTATTAAGATCTTTATGGTATGCAAATGGTCATTTGTGCCATATCCTGCCCTGAAGCCTGCCTGTTCTTTGGACTGATAGAAATTAAGTTTAGGTATTAGCCTCTTTGTTATGATTTTCATAAAGAGTTGGTACATATGTGTCAAGAGGCTGATGGGTCTATAATTTTATAATTTAGTAATATTGCCTTTTTTGTGTAACAAGACTATTACTGCATTATTCCAGTCTTTTGGAATCGTACCCGCATGCAAGCATTTATTAAACAGTTTGCTTACTGATTTTAATCAAAGTTCTCCTCCTGCTTTTATTGCCTCGATAACGAGTCCATTATCACCAGGCGATCGATGGTTCTTCATTTCCTTTAAAGCTGCTCTTACTTTTGATACAGTAATGGGTAAAAGTATTTCCGATTTGTGATTTATGAGAGACTTTACTCGTGTCGGGAAATTTTCTTGTGGTATATGGCTGGTATAGAGGTCTTTATAAACCTTTCTGGATATTTTTAGAATGTTTTGTTTATCTCTTGTTGCCTTTCCGTCTTTATCTCTCAGCTTGTATTTCTTTTTTACTTTGTGTGAGTTTTCTTTTCATTATCTTTAAACCTTTGTTCTCTTCTACTGTTTGAGTAATTACATTAGTATTATATCTTCTTACATCTTTTCTAATTTCCGCTGAAATTCTTTTATTAAGTTTTTTATATTTTTCTTTGTTTCCATTTTCGTTCTTGCTTAGGTTTCGTCATATTTCCATGAGAGCTTTTGTATCTGTGCGAATCTTTTCAGTTATGGTGTCATTTTTCTTGCAGAATTTGAGTTGTGCGTTTCTAACCGAGTCTGTTATTAATTTATTGTGATCTCCGATACTTAGAGGTTTGGGATTATTACTCTGTAAAGTTTCGGCTATATTTTTTATGTATGCTTCTGGATGATTTTGTGAAATCCAAACTAGGCGTTTGCAACTGTTTATCATCTTTGCTCTTTATTTTTGTAGATTTATCATTACTTTAGCTCTTACTGGTCTGTGGTCGCTTCCCACTGATAGTTTAGTGCTGTCATTAGTGACGGGATAATTGATATTCAATTTTCACTCTCATAGTGTTTTTGTTTTACCACTAATCCTAGCAAACTTTTTATAAGGGATAGTTTATATTTAAATACAGCTGATTTTGTTTTTATTTTAAACAATCTTAAAAAGCAAAAAAGTAATTTTTTGCATATAAATGGATTTTTTAATACATTTTAGAATCAAATTGTTTAAATAAAATAGTAAATAGTGAATGAGGGTAAAAATCAACTATTACTTCCGATTTAGGTGAATCTCCATCGATTTGCATAAAAATTTGGGATTCAATATATTTTACCCTTAACTTCAAGCTCAATTTTCATTATTTGAATAATACATGTATACATAAGTATTTATTTATTTATTTATTGCGTAATTTTGCACCCTTAAAAACTGCCCTCTGTCATAAAAATAATGGAAAATGTTTTTTTATTAGCTTTAATAGCTTTAATCATTTAGAAACTTTTTTATTGGTTATGATAAACTTTATTAATATATTTCAAACTTTATTAATATTATTCTTTCCACATTTCTTGAACAATTTTTTCAGTGCTTGTGTGATTTAAACAAATTTAAGTTGTTAGTTAAGGGGAAAACGTATTAAAATAAATATTAAAATATATAAAAAGTTCATTCATTTTTTATTTAAGTAATGTTTCATAAATTAATCAAATATTAATAGTACTTTAATTGTTAATTTTTCACTCTTCATCAGAGCTCTCTTTACCAATTTCTCTTCTTTTATTAATTGGAGGGCTATTTTGGCAATTGTCCTTACTGCATGAATGCAATACACATTGCATTGCAACATTATTGCAACCCTATTCTTCGATACCAGCACCTATCTTTTTTCCTATATATACATACAAAATTTTCAATTATCGCTTTTTTTACAATATTTCCGTTAATTTTTATGATATCAGGTTCATTCAACAACCATTTGAAAGGGCTATAAAGTCGTATTAAATTTTTTCTTTTAAATCCCTTATTTTTTAAAAGATAAAAGGTTAAAGGGCCCGGATTACATATTTCTCGCAGTAAAATTAATGTTTTAAACAATTTTATCTGGTATTTTTTATCCTACAAAAATATAAAAAAAGGAAAATCTTACACGCTTGACGCTTGGTACGTGAAATCAAATCTTCACTGTCTTTTTTATTTTATTCGTATCTACTCTGTATGAGTACAAGAAACCAATTCGCTAAGGATTTCTGCTTAGTTAAGGAGACTTGTCGTGGAATGCAAATTTTAGATTCTTCATGTCTCTATTAACATCTTTATCAACATCGGTTTTGCCTTGAAATTTTTAGAAGGCTCAGATTAAAAGCAGAAATCTGAATAATTGGTTTCTAAACTATTTTACGGAAATAATGGAGTATTCACCAAATTTGAGTTAAAATTATGGCGAAAGAACTGGTCAAACGGTAAATATTGAGGAAAATAATAGCAATTTAAAAGAGATCTCACTGAAGAAGATATACATGAAAAGGGAAAATGGCGATTGGAATGTAATAAACAGAAAACATATTATGATGTGAAAAACCACAGTAAGATAACCAATAACAAAATCTTTACTTACACACATTTTTACATAATTTGTACAAAAAACTTATTTATGAGAACGATTTCCGGAATGGACGTCAAATATTAACTAATTAAAAATGTGATTTTCATCACAATCAACCATGCCACAAGGAAGTAGTTTCAGACCTTTTTTTATGTACTTTTGAGATAAGATATTGATTTGATACAATAAAAATAATTAGAAAACACCGTTTTCTGCACCTTACAAGTGCCATCAAAAAATTATAAGGAACTGCAGCCAATTGCCAATAGTTTGTAAATGTAAACAGTTGGAGGTTGCTCCGCTCATTGCCCTTTATAGCGCTGTGCCGTTTTCATCAAAAAATTATTAGTTATTGCAGGTTTTTCTCTGTACAGCTTGGACCGTAATTGTTTCTTACAAATAAAGCTGAATAATTATGTTAGCAAAATAAATATGTACCGACAATTCGAATTCTTTTTCTATTTGAAACGGTTTTGGGTTTGTAAGAATATCGATACAAGAATAATTGAGAAGATTAAAAAACCTTCTTCTTCTAGTTCTATGACCGTTATCGATGGTTGGATATCATGCTACCATATTCGCTATCGTGACTTTATTGACAGCAGCTCTAAATAACGATGTAGTTGATTTTCCATACCATTGTCTTAGATTTTTCAGTCATGATGTT